CATGTTAGCAATCTGAGCTCTATCCAATTTTCCAAACAATCTTCTGCAAAATAATGTAACATAAGTCAGTTAACTAAATGCAATGTGTGTACATCTGCCATACTCTCCATCTAAGAACAGCATTATTAATGCAATACTAAAACCACTTTGCAATGTATTTAAACATAACAAAATCTAACTGCAGGATTTATTGTTCCAGTCATTTAAAAGAACTACTTGAAATTAAATCATGAGATACTCCCCTGTATTATTCTGCTGTCAGATATGTGAACAATACAGAAAATTAGCAAATATAAAAATATTTGAATCATGAACTAAAAACTATTTTGACAAAGCAGAAGGCTGCAGATATGAATGTACTGCACTGAATTAACATCTGAGCATCTTAACAATCTAAATAGCACTGCTGGTTGCTCGTGTGCTAACAGATCTTCTGGTCTCTCATACAGTGAAGAAAATCTAACATTTTTAGATGTAATAATATATCATTACATTTAAAACAGTGAAATTGATAATGTAACTGCTATAAAAGAACTGCAGAAATTTTCAGTCATATAGGGTTTTATTTTTATACAAGATAAATAAATAAACACAAATTTATCAGAAATCTCTTAACTTACGATAAATGCATAAAGTATGAGTTCATGCATCATGGTAAGGGCATAGCTCAAGTACAGTGAACATATAAAATTGAAATGAATTTTATTAAATCTGTTTAGAGACCACAGCAATATGTAAAGCTATCAGTCACAAGAACTCAACACCTGAAAAAATGTAATGAAGAGTATGAAACAACAAACGTTGCTTTCCATGAACTATAATATGTAGATCAAAGCCTAATAGCCTCCTGCCTAACTACACCATTTCAAAGAAAGAAAGAAAGTGTATTACTTAAACATTGTGAAAATGCAATATACACATGGGTGTCAGTTGTGCCTGAGGAAGTCCCTGAACTGCAAATTGCTGGAAGCTTGAGAGTACTCTGGGAAGGTAACATTACCCAGTTGCCCTCTCCTCACACTCTCCTCTGATACTGGCTTCCAAACACAGGACAAGGTGAATGCTGTTCTGACTTCTGTTGCTTTATATTTTGTCTCGCACATTTTTTCTTGACCTTCCTTCAGAACACAGTTTACAAATGAAGACTTTCTATGAGTTGATCAGGTTAAAGGCCCTGCTAAATAGTAGAGAGGTTTCTGCTTTAGACCACTCTCTCATAACAAGCAATTAATGCCATCAAAACCCAAAGTCATGGTAGAACTACCACTATGCAATCAACAAACTGTATATGTCT